TTTTCTCCCTACTTTTTAAACATGGCTCTTTTTTCAGAGAAGGGGCCAGAACTCTTCCTTTGTTTAATGCAGGGTCATCTTATGCTACACCAACAGCATAATTTTGCCTGTTTCCCAAACACCGACAGGCTACTGACATTCGGGGCTGCGATCCTGAATTTCTGAAGCGATTTTTCTTTCTTCCAGGACTGATTTGGGCCAGGGCATATTTTCTGCAATGCCACGTTGGCAGCTCCCGTAGGTGCAAAGGAGACAACTCCAAGTTTTCTACGGAGTTGCACAGGTGTCAAGGAGGGGGTGTGCGGAGAAGAGACCGCAGCATATACAGGGTTTCACAGCCAGGTCTGAAGACATACTTTTGGATATATTGAAGACTGATTCCTGTATATTCACCCTGGCTTTATCCCCACTCCCAGGATGAAATGCTTTCAACTGCCCTGTGAGGAGGAACAGGCAAGAAGGGGGCAAACAGAGCCAGGAAGGCTGGTTATTTTATTTTGAGAGTCCACATCACTTCGGGTGACTCCAGATTTAGGCGCAGTAAAATCATTGGGGCATTCTAGGTAGTTAAGTTCCAATGATTTCCACTGAAAGTACTCTGAACAGTCCGTGAATCACGTTGAAAAAAAAAGAGAGAGAGAGAGAATTCCATTAAATAACTAAATCTTCCATTCTGCCAGTTCTTCCTTCCTCCCAAACTGCACAGCTTATTTAAATAACATCTGCCATGGTCGTATATCAAGCGATCTAAGTATTTCCTGAAGGTGAATCAGCGTTAAGCAACATGTTATATATAAACCCCGTTCCTTACCCTCACCCCAGCCTTAGGCTCCTAAGCACAGGCTGATAAATTTCACTGAATTTCCAGCGACTGAAATGTCATTGGTTTTACTCTCCCAGAATTCTGTTTCTATGTTGCGCAGATGAGCCCAGCAGAAGCAGGAAAGATGTCTTGTTGAAAAGATGGATGGAGAGCGGGGATGTGACTGATCCAAATATATCATAAATCACTTCGTTAGCGTTGCAAGTCTCTTCTCGGTTCTTTAACAGGATCATGAGCCCTGGAAGAACACAGGCAGCCCTTAAGTCACTGTTACAAAAGGCTTATCTGTGGACTCCATGATGGGAGTCCAGGGCAATACAAGCACCAGAGCATTGCAAATAGAAAGTGACTGGGAGTCTGTCCAGTTAACAACGCTGCTCTTTGTATGACGGCTGTAGGTAATAATCGCTCTGACAGCCAAACAGAGAACGACTTAGGAACAGAGGCCAGCTCCAACTCCTGGTTTCTAGATAACTTTCAGGCTCCATCTGAATGTCCCTTATCTGCAAGGACATCAGCTCGAATTCCAAGAGAATCATCTTTGGGACGGTTAATGGAGAAGGGCTCCTCCTTGGGCGCCTGAGCGAGCCCATTTCTCTTAAAAGAAAAAAAGAGAATTTAGCCAACCTGATTCTATTCCAAAAGTTGTTTGTCTTTACCCTGCTGAATGTGGTGCTGGGATTGGAACGCCAGTGTGATGAAAACTCCACTGAAGGCTTTTTAAACTGAAAAGTGGGATAACCATCTGATAAAAAGATAAATTTGAAATAAGCTATCATCTATTTAAATACAGAAGTGTCAGCGATGCCGTGGATGTTGGATTTCCCCAGCTTGGCCACAGTAGGATAGCAACACACACATACAAACAGGAGACTCACAACTGTTGTCTTCTACTTAGAAATACGGAGACTAAATCTCCTTTAGCATTTCTGTTTTCAATCTCTTCCTCCGTGGTTTCTTTTTATCGCTCTGTTTTTCTTAACAGGATTTTTCAAGGAATAAGGCTTATGTGTAAGAGTTTGCTGGGAGGAACATTTATTTATCCAACAGATTTATCATCCATCTTTCCTCCAGAAGCTCAAGACTGCACATTCCTCTTCCAAGTTTTCTTGATAACAACCCTGTGAGGGGACTGCCCCCAAATCACTCAGTGAGTTTCTAGCCCAA